GCCGGGTGGTTTTTACGCTCTCCCGGGTGAATAGAGTGACAATTTGAACGTCTCACTTGAGAGTCCGGCGAGAGCACTTGGGAGGAATCTGAACGCTCTCTGGGTGTCTGGGTGCACCCGGGTGGGGAATCAGAACACAGCCTGTGACATGTATATGTCACCTTACTATAGAAAATAAAAGTTATATATTTCGCATTTTATACAGGGTGTCCCCAATTTAAATGTCAAAACTGTATGAGCGTGTAGGGGACCGATGAACTAAGACAAAAAGTCCTTTAGAGATTTGCTCGTTTTTGCTTCGTTTTGAAGAAAATCGAAAAAATGAAACAAATAATTGTCACCAAAAAACTTAAAACAACACTAAAATTATTAGATTTACTGATTAGGCACGTGCAGATTACAAATCTTTTATATTAAGTAAATGTTGACGGCACGGGCCGATAACAAAACTGTAATTTTATAATTTTTTTTCACTTTTCATATGAAATGTTTAACTCCGCACTCCGTTATTATGTATACTTTAATTGTGGAAAAAGATTTTTTGATATCTATAATCAACAAAAATATTTGGCATAATAACGTTTTTATCGGTAAAACAGACCTTTTGGGATTCCCTTAAGGCATTACAACTGAAGTTTTCGTGTGGCAGCAATGGATACAACGAATTATTAACTCAACATCTACCTTTACCATCACAGCGTACTTTACGAAGAAGAAAAGAAAGCATTAGCTTTGAGCAAGGAATATTAGAGGACGTTTTTGATATTTTAAAGAAACAAGTATCATTGTTTAAAGATGATAGAGAAAAAGATGCTGCGATTGCTATTGATGAAATGAGTATAGTACCTGGAAAACAGTTTGATCCTTTCACTCTTTCATATATTGGCAATGCTAGTATGCCTGACAGTTCTGGTATATTTCTTTCCTAAATCTACATAAAATCTTGATTCTCTTTATAAATATTTTTTATTAAATATATTTTTCTTTGTCCTTTACAGGACAAGTACAAAAAGCATCGCACGCTTTAGTTATTATGCTTGCTGGTATTTTTTCACGGTAGAAACAAGTTGTTGCCTATTACTATACGCCCAATGGATTTAACGGTGCTAATTTAAAAGTTATAATGGAAACAGTAATTAGAAAAGCAGAATCCATTGGTCTATATGTACATAGTATAATTTCCGACATGGGATCGGTAAATCAAGCCATGTGGAAAGCATTTGAAAACATTTCAGGTGGAAAATTTTCTTTAATTCATAATTCTATATGTCATCCCGTAGACAATAAACAAAAATTGTTTTTTTTGCTGATGCGCCACACCTCTTAAAAAACTTAAGATCTTGCCTGGAAAATAACAAAATAATAGAACTACCAAAGACATTCGTGCATACACATAAATTATCTTCGTCTACCATAAAATGCAAGCATTTGACTGAATTAATCGAACTGCAAAATTTATTTTTCAAATTAGCTCCTAAACTTCAACACAGTGATATTATTCCCGGTACATATAACAAAATGAAAGTTAATAAAGCGGAAAATGTCATGAGCATGGATGTCAGCATCAGCAGTGCACTTACATTTGTAGCTGAAAAAAAGGCAAAATAGAATATAAGACAACAGCATCATTTATAGAAGTTGTTTTCAAATGGTTCACACTTGTAACGTCACGATCTCAACGAGTAGCATTGGGTAAAACATCAGGCAATGAAAAAAGTGAAGAAAAATATAATCGAAGTATTGAGTTTCTTGAGTCAGTTGTAGAATTTTTCAGAAATATTGCAATAGGTCAGAATCCCAAGTTTAAACCCGTCCAATGTGGTGTCATATGATTACTACAAAATCTGTTATCGAATTAACAAAATATTTGATAAACGAAAGAGGCTATGTGTATGTTTTAACAAGTCGGTTCACACAGGATTGTGTAGAAAATTTATTTTCAGGAATAAAAACAAAACATTAAATACACCCAATGCTTTACAATTTAAACAAGATTTGAAAGAATTTTGTATATCTCGCTATATTAAACCATCAAAATATTCCACCTATGACTAAGATGATAGACAATTTCTGTGTGACTTCTTGAGTAAAACGAAAATAAAAAATGTTGAACAGTTTCCGAATATTCCTATTGACATTATTTCAAAACATATATCAGGTGATTGCATAAGTTCGTGCCCGATTTAAATATAAACTTCAATAGATTATATTTTAGATAATAATATAGAGTTAATAAATATATTATATAATATAGCTGGTTATATAATTCACAGTATTGCTGCAGGTAAAAGTGCAATATGCGCAATTTGTTTAAATTCTGCAGACTCAACAGAATATAACGTAAATATTAAATATGCAAAATTTGTGCACTTAAAATGTTATTAAAATAATACATTATTTTTTGTAACCACAGATTTTTTGAATATTTTATCGCCATGGAATTTATTATTCGGCAATATTTGCCTCATTTAAATAATATTAAATGTAATTTAATTATAATTTTTTATGGAAAAAGTAAAAAATATTTCTTGTGCAAGTCTTATTAACAATTGTCATCAATTAGGTTTGAAAATTATGAGAGATTTATTTCATATAGAATAAAAATTGCATGTACCAAAGGGCGACTAGTCAAACCAATATACAATAGCAAAACAATGGCAAATTAAAAAGTTAAAAAGTTAATATTTTTATTATATATAGTTTATATATATTTTTTATAGCATTATTATATATTATTATTAAGTGTTCTTTATACTATCAAAATATGTGTGATAATTATATGTTTGACAGCCGCCAACGACACGAATATCACTGACGTTGCGCAATATAACAGCCAATCAAATTTAGGCATAGTTTACCTCGTCGCATCGTCCGCAGTGGCTTCACTCCCCTCGCCTAAACCACGAGTTTATGCTCGGTCTCTATATTTTTTATATCTATGGCTTCCCCTAACCATTGGTTCCGCCATGTTTTTCCAAACTTCGTTTTGACCAATAAAAAGGAACACGCACCGTGGCCAGACTCTATCTTTAGGGACTCTAGATTAAACCTGCTATGCTGTGTTCCGATTCCCCACCCGGGTGCACCCGATATTATAGTATATGTCACGTATACTATAATATCGGGTGCACCGGGTGTCCGGGTGGGGAATCGGAACACAGCCCTACATTCGAAACGCTATGAGTTATTACATCACGGCTGCGGTCGGGAAGACGCTAGAAATGCTTCGAAGCATTGCATTAATCAATCAGAATAAATCACAAATGAGAATTACTGAGTTTTGATGTAAATGGAAAGCAACTATTGTTTGAGTATAGAAGAAATTCGACATTAGAAAAAATAGAATAACTTGTTTTTTCCTTCGTCACTATATATTAATATATATTAATTATTTAATATTATGAGTGATAAAACAAATTCTCATAAAAAGAAATGGAAAGTGATGAAAACTTCAAAACTAAACAACGATATATCACGTAAGTATTGAAATTCTGCTTGTTATTTTTTGTTTTATTGTCATTATTATTATCTTTTGTATATTTTATATACATATTCTAGACAAAGAGAGAGAGAGAGAGAGAGAGAGAGAGAGAGAGAGAGAATAAATAATTAAAAAATAGATAAAATTAATTTTACATTAAGATAAAAAGAGAACTTCTTAAATATAAAAAGTTTAGAGAGATAAAATTAAAATATTTTAAATTTCTGAATAAATCTCAATAATGTTATAACATTATTTTAGATCAAAATAAAACAGATCATAGACCCGATAATCTCGATATTGGTAGGAATATAGATATTCCATATTATGGATGGAAATTGTTTTTTCCTGACAAAGGTAAATATGTAATCGATATAGTTAAAAAAACAAAATATTATTTTCTTAGGTATATATATGTGTCTTGCTGCATCTCTTTCTCTAATACATTAATAAATATTTATACAGAGTATAAAACTAATAGTGCTATTACAAAACAAATTAAAGCTATAGAGGCATTTATAGAAAGACATCAAGTATTGTCTTCGTTGTTTACTATGGCAAATTTGGAAGCAGGCATGTCTTTTGATATTGACATCTGTGACCTGTATGAGGATAGTGAATTTATGAAGCAATGGCCAAATTTTAAGCATGAAATTCATGAGAACCCAACAAACACATTAAATTGTATGAAACTTAGTATTCATCAGGTATATTTATTCCTTTTTATGATTAAATAAATATTGTTTATATTTTTAATTTTCTATTCTACTTTTATAATGATTTTGAATATGTGATCATTCGTCAATTCATCATAAAAAAGGCTACTAATGTAGGTGTTTAAAAAATTAGGATCCCATTAAAAAAAAAGAAGTTGATCTTCATTTCACCTTTCACTCAACCCACAGGTCAAACCAATAGCATCACCTTTGAAACTCTACAACCTTTATCTGAATTTCTTTTTATTTTGCTTTGTTTTATATATATTTATGCGTCTTAATTTAAATGCTGCATCCTGTGTATATATATAATTAAATTTTGTGTATATACATAATTAAATTTTGTATTATTTATATAATTCATATATATATATATATATATATATATATATATATATATATATTGCATGGTGTAATTGATTTGCTGTTTCTCTTTTTCAGCTGTGAAAATTAAGAAAAATGCTGATAATGTCAAGTTTAAAGTTCGCTGCTCCAGATTTTTATACACTCTTGTCATTACCGATAAGGAGAAGGCTGAGAAGCTGAAGCAATCGTTACCACCAGGTATAACAAACTCGATAATGTGTGTGTGTGTGTGTGTGTGAGTGGGTGGGTGGGTAGGTGTGTGTGAGTGTGTGTGTGTGGGAGTGTGTGAATAATATAAACAATACAAAATTTAATTTATTTATTAATTACTTAGTTTTATTTATTATTTACTTAGTTTTAAAAACTTTGGTTTTTGTTATTAACAGATCCTTGATTACTTGTTTTTTCTTGTAATTCTTCCCATAAATTTTTGATATTATAATTTTAGAAAATTTTGAAAACGGTGCCAGAAGAAAATTTACAGTATGTTTTGAATTCTATTAGCAGTTTACCAACAGTCAAATTAAGTATATTAAATTATCAACCAATCATATGTTTGCGAGACCTTAAGTTAAATTATTATGGTATGTGTATATAGACTTCTGTATATCTAAAAAAGTATCTAATATTATATATGTAGATTCATTAGAAAGAGAGTTTCTATTATATACATTAATCTTTTATTTTTGCAGGATTAGACAATTAATTGTTATTTTAATTTTATTTTATGGAAATTTTTCTAGAGCGATTGGTATCTACTAGAGGCTGTGTAATAAGGGTTGGCAGAATAAAACATCTTATACAGTGGATGGTATTTGCCTGTTCCAAATGTCATTTGCAAAAATTAGTCAAACAGTCTCAGGAAATATACACATTGCCAAAAATATGTGATACTTGTGGCACATCAAAGTTTTATCCAGTCTTGGATTCACCTTTTGTGAAAAGTATTTTATTCCAGATAATCAGAATACAAGAATCATTGAATGATGAGCAGGTGTAGTATATTTTATTTGTAATATAATTAAATAATATAATTAATTACTTCTTTGTAAGATCTTATAATTTAAGTTCGAACAAATATATTTTACAATTTTATTTTTTATAATAGTTATATTTGATAAATTTTGAATTGTTCTAAAAGTTAAAAATTTCATATAAGAACATACAAATAATGTATTTTAAATGCTTTGAAATAAATTATGTATATAAAGTAAATATTAATAAAATTGTGTATATTGCACAGTATATGCATGTGTTAATATTTTGTAGGAGAATAAAGGTAAAGTGCCTAAAATTCTTGATGTGGAACTTATGGATAATGTAGTTAATATTTGCATGCCTGGGGACAATATAACACTTACAGGCATTATCAAGGTAATTCTCAGGAATAGTTATATAAAAATGTTTATTGTGTTATATCCAAAAATCTTCTTTTCTTCTGCATAATGCTCTGCTGTAATGATGTTTTTATATCTATCATTATCAATATGAAAAAAATATATTTTTTTCCAAATATTTAAATATATCTACTTATAATGCTAAAGAAAGAAAGAAAGAAATTATCTATACATCTTGAAAAATTTTAGGTACAAGGAGTCGACGATACAACTAAAATACAAGTTGGGATTCCATTTTCATTATATATGAAAGCAATTACAATTATCAATAACAAACGTAAATGTGAAAATAAAAGTTCTATGAGTAATGAAATGTCTTTAAAAAATTACTTAGCTATACAGGTGTATATTTTTTCTTTTTTATCAAATATAAAATTGAATTAAATCTTGCATCCTTGCAAAATAATTATAGTTGTCTTTTTTTTGTTATATATAGAATATATATAAAGAACAAAATATTCTTGCATTATTAGTACATTCGTTATGCCCTAGTATATACGGCCATGAAATAGTCAAAGCTGGATTGATATTGAGTTTATTTGGAGGTAACGTAAAACGCGCGCAATTACGAGATGGCATACATATTTTGTTAATTGGAGATCCTGGTCTTGGCAAATCACAGATGTTACAAGCATGTGCTCGAATATCTACAAAAGGTATATTAAAGAAAACCAAGTTTCTTTGTAAGATATAAATGTTTTATATAAGACATTACAAAAATTTTTGAAGGTATATACATTTGTGGCAATTCAAGTACATCCTCCGGACTAACGGTAACACTTACAAAAGAAACCGGTTCAAATGACTTTTCTTTAGAACCTGGTGCTTTGGTTTTAGCAGATCAAGGTTGTTGTTGCATCGACGAGTTTGATAAAATGTGTTCTCAGCATCAGGTAAAATAATATAAATATTCATAGCAACATATTTGCTAAAACAATGAATAAATGCTATTAATGCTAATAACAGATGTAATATAGTAATTTTCTCACTTTCTCATTCTTTCTTGCTCTTTCTTTCTGTAATATTCTTGTATAATAAAATTAATAAAGCAAATTTTTTTAAATACCTGAAATATATTTTTATATGTATATATTGTTCCAGGCATTATTAGAATCAATGGAACAACAAAGAGTTACTGTTGCAAAATCAGGTATAATATCTTCTTTTCCTGCACGGACATCAATTCTCGCAGCGGCTAATCCTATTGGAGGGCAATATGACAAAAGCAAAACAGTAACTGAAAACCTAAACATTAATCAACCTATTCTCTCGCGATTTGACTTAATTTTTTTATTATTGGATAAACCAGATAAGGTAAATAAACATCTGTAATTTGAATAAGTATTGAATTGCTTGTAGTGATATTATCTTTTTATTTATGACAGCACTTTGATAGTTTGTTATGCAAGCATATTATGACAGTTCATACCAATTCACATACAAGTTTCAATCAAGAAGCTATAGAGTTGTCTGCTAATGACTGTTCCTTAAGGTAAATAATAATATATGATCCTCTGGTGGTGATCCACTGGTAGTGATCCATTGGTTTGCTGAAAATAATAGTACAAAACATGATCATATCTTGAGTATTATAACTTATTATTTTTCCAGTTATGCAATATATGTGCTTAATTTAAAAAAAAAAAAAACAATTAATAATATTTTATACTATACTCGATTTTGTTTTATGTACTATTTCGTTTAAGAGAAGCATCTAAACCTAACTATAATAAACATTTCAGAAAAAAGCTAATGCTGCCATTATCTACTGAGGTTATATCACAGCCTATTCTTCGAACTTATATTTCCTACGCACGACAATATGTGAAGCCAAAATTGTCAGCCAAAGCTGCAGCTATATTACAGAAATATTATTTAGAACTTCGATCAAAAAATAAACAATTTGGAAGCATACCTATATTTAATAGACAATTAGAAGCCATGATCCGTTTAACTGAGGTTTGGTATCTTTTGTTACGAGAGAAAAATATATTATGTGTGTTAAAAAAATATTTTATATCACTTTATTATAGGCTAGAGCAAAACTGGAATTACGTATTGAAGCAACTGAGTCAGATGCATTAGATGTAATAGATATATTGCAATATACAATGACAGACACATTAGAAGATTGTGTAACATCGAGATTGAATTCTGATGGTAAATTAACAAACAAAAAAGTAAGTTGTCTGTATGTGGAGTGATTTACTTACATTTATATAAAACTATTTACATGTACACACAAAATTTGATAACAGTTTATATTATTTACAATTTCTTTTTTTTTTTTATACAGATTAAAACGTTTATAAAGATACTTGAAGAAAAACTAAATGTGGATAAAAAACAAATATTTTCAACAAAAGAATTAAAAACATTTGCTACGTGCAAAGGTATTTTGATAAATGATTTTGCTGTTTTAATTTCAACACTGAACAGAGAAGGTATTTTATTAAAAATTAAGAAAGATACATATAAATTTATTTATGATACCACATAATGTGTTTATACATATATATATGTGTGTATGTGTGTAATAAAATATATTTATATATATAATACATCTGTTTAATATATTATATATTCTATGATACTAATCATTTTATTATGGCATATTTCTCAAATGTTAGGCATTAAAATATAAAAGTTGTATTTTCGATTGTTGTATTTTTTATTTTAAATAAAAACAACTTTAGCCATAGAAATTTTAAAATAACTTTTCTTTTATGATAAATAAATATCAACTGGAGAAAAAAGTTCATATAGATATACAGGGTGTCCCAGACCACCCGTACACCCCTTTTAAAATGAAAATAAATGGCTTTTATAAAAAATCGCGAACATTTTTTAAGTAAATCGGGTATGCTCTATCGAATGGTGATATTTTCAACTTTTGATTCCGACCGGAAATACGCCATCCGGACCGGAAGTTGAATTTTTTAAGGGAACATAGTACTTTTTATTACAGATTCGAATTGTACGTGAAAAAATAAGAAACTTTTGTATCAAACGTTTTTTCTGAAAGTGCCTCTGTCAACCTTAAGATTGACCTTGAAAGCAACTGTGACAGTTACCTTCAAGGTCAATTTTAAGGTTGACAGAGGCACTTTCAGAAAAAACGTTTAATACAAAAGTTTCTTATTGCAAAATTATGATTGGTAAAGAACATCTATTTTTTAACATAATCTCCATTTACATCACAACATTTTTGCTATCGATATACTAATGCGTTAATACCGACAGAATAGAAAGAGTTGTCCTAACATCTGAACTACTGTAATGTACACGTTTTAAGCTCATCTTCTGACTGAAAGCGCCTGCTGCCCAAAATGTTCTTTCAAGGGACCAAACAGATGAAAATCTAAATGTTTATAGTTTTTCTCTTTTTTGGGAGGTGTGTATTAAAGAGTGTGTGTTACAGTGGTTCAGAAGTCAACTCCTTGACAACTCCTTCTATTCTGCCGGTATTAACACATTGGTACGTCGATGGCAAAAATGCTGTGATGAAAATAGGTATTATGTTGAAAAATAAATGTTCTTTATTAGTCATAATTTTGCCTCTTTATCTGTCTAAAAATTAAATTCCGGTTTTGATGTGAACGACCCAAGTATAATTCAAATATAATTATATAAAAAAATCAAATATAAATATTCATTTTAATTACATATTATAATAACAAATATAATTATATATAAAATATGTCCACATATGTGTGTGTGTGTGTAAGGTCATTATTTTATATATTATACGTGTTTTATCAACTTGAAATATCGCGGGCGACGTCTACCTTTTCATTTTCGCCCGCGATATTTTTAATTGATGAAACTCGTATAAAATGTAAAATATTTACATTATATCATACATCGTTGTATTCGTTTCAAACGGTGCTACAATTTTTATCATATCGAAATATCCACATTATTATAAAAAAATTATGCATACCTCTCCGTTCGTTAACACAGATAGTTTTTGGAAGCAACTACTTTGCTCACGATA